GAGACATCTCGGGAAGAATTTAATGAACCCAGATTCCTGCATCTTCCCATACACACACACACAAATACCAAACCATTAACTGAGATATCTGATCCGTGTGACCACGCGTCATCTCTTACCGAGATGTATGCTTGCCTGCACGTATTCCACAGCGCAAAATCAAATATGTATACTGGCTTCTCCCCCGCCTCTTCAGAGCGGTTCTCTCAGAGCTCCTGAGAGGCTAGTGTCCTCATAAGGTCCCCAAATAAAACCCAAACTCACAGCTCTTATGTTGTGCGTTTTTCCTTCAGTCAACAGCAGAATGGCAAGAGAGTGGGGCTGTGCTATAGTTGGGAGTCTGTTCCCAGAGAGCTCACAAGCCAGCAAGGAAAGAAGAAGAGAAGCCCACAGTTAGAATCCTGTGTAATGAGTTCCACACCGGTGTGCACACAGGGTAACAGCAAAGGGACTCAAGGAAGGTGACCCTGGATGGAATGACTTCTGAACTTAATCTTGAGAGGACTGGGGGATGGGGAGTGAGGAAGAGAAGGGGGTGCCAGGTGGAGGAAACACGGAGCAGCATAATTGCCGCTAGGGAGTGGTGAGAATGACGTGTCTGGGAGCTGCAGGTAGTGCCGTGTGTCTGCACAAATGTCGGGCCTGGGGCAGAGTGCTACCAGATGCCTGGAAGAAGGAACCAGAGTTCCATCTGTCAAGCTGGAAGCACCCAGAATAGGCCCGTGAACGTCCAACAAGCAGATGTGGTGCTATCAAGAGAGCCCTGGGCTGGAGACAGGGCTTTAGTGATCAGAAACATTGTAGGTGGAGCCATGAGTGTGGTTTAAATTACCAAGCTCGTGAAGAGAGAAGAGAATTGACTGTCAGAACAGTCTAGACAAACAGAAGGAAGGGAAGCCACCAAGGAGACTTATAAAATAAGGGCAGAGGGCTTCCCTGGTGGCGCAGTGGTTGAGAATCTGCCTGCTAATGCAGGGGACACGGGTTCGAGCCCTGGTCTGGGAGGATCCCACATGGCGCGGAGCAGCTGGGCCCGTGAGCCACAACTACTGAGCCTGCGCGTCCGGAGCCTGTGCTCCGCAACAAGAGAGGCCGCGATAGTGAGAGGCCCGCGCACCGCGATGAGGAGTGGCCCCCGCTCGCCACAACTAGAGAAAGCCCTCGCACAGAAACGAAGACACAACACAGCAAAAATAAATTAATTAATTAGTAAACTCCTACCCACAACATCTTCTTTAAATAAATAAATAAGGGCAGAGACACGAGAGGGGTCACAGTGGAAAGGAGGGGTGAAGTAAAGTCTGCAGAGTCAAGCAAGATAGGGCATGAAAAGGGCTCATTAGACGTGACCGCTTGGAATCCAGCCTGTGGCTTCTGTCTCCTCTGAAACAGGAAGTGAACATGTCTGCTGAGAGAGAGGACAGGGATTCTTATGCAGGTGTGAGTTCAGGTGTAATCTGGCTAACTAACTAAGGCCACATCACAAAGGCTTCAGCTCCTCTGCCTTCCTTCCTACAGGATCTGGCGGTGGGGTTTCTACTGAGCATTACTCCTTCCCTTGACTAATGTGGAGGTTGCTTCAGACACACCAGAATTCCAGAGTGAGGGTCACACCTAACACTGACCCTGCAGCATCTGGAGATGGTGTTCTAATCCTCCCGGGTGCAAGATCACAGGAGGTAAGGAAGAGGGGGTTTCGAGGACAGATATGAAATGCAAGGTAAGAATGAAAAACTGTCTTTTAAACTTAGTGGTTGAGTAGACACTGTCGACCCTGGAGAGAAGAGTTCCAGTGGTCGACTGTGGCAGTGGCTGGAATGGAGTGCGTGGAGGAGTGAGTGGGTGATGGAATGGGGCAGAAGGAGAGAACATCGTTGGCAAATTCTCTGGACTTTATCAAGGCGTTGCCTTTAGAGATTGTTACTATAACTTCTGGGTCCCCCCACAATGACGGACATAGGGATAATATAAAATTATGAATTCGGGCACAAAGCCTCATTGCCCAAGCATAATATAGGCCAGTGTTAAACTCCCACTGGACCATACAGCTACGGAGAGTGTCCGCTGGTTTGAGGCATCTCCAGCCCTCACAGTTCCCACTGAAAGTTGATGGTTCTGCCTTACAAGTCAGGGGCGTGTGAGTTTAAGGGAATCTGCTCATGGGATCTGCCCAACCCTGGGTAAACTTGACAAAGGAAATGATTAACAGAATTGCCTGGAGCAGCGATGACAGAATCCAAAACCAAAATGGAAATACAGGATGCCTTGTCTGGGACACTTAGACATCTACCCGGAGGCTTGGCAGTTAGCCTGGATATAGGAGGATGGGAACCTGGGACTTTGTCGTTGACACCCTAGTTGCTGTTGCATCCCCCTATCAACCCTTTCCCAAAGGCATCACGATGTCCTTGGTCATTGTACATTGATGGAAGGTAGCTGAGTTCCATCAGACAAAGAGGATGAGCTCTGTTAACAAAAATAAAACAACAGTAATGTTGATTATAAACAGCAGCTCTGGGTCTGCAGGCATCCTCTTCTCCACCCAAAGGACAGAACCCGACATCAGCAGCAGAGATGAAACCCAGGATAACCAGAAATAGGACTTCAGCAAGCAGCAGGAAAGGCTGTGCCAGGGTCGATCAAGCAAACCAGACAAACCCAGACAATCGCATTTGTGTAAAATAACAATAGTCCACATTTTACTCTAGTCCACATTTCACACAATACTCTCACATACATCATTTCTTTCCATTGATCGATGGCAAGGAACATATTCTGAAGTGGCTCCTGGAAGAGAATGGTTTGGATTTATTTGAGCAGAGGGAGGGCAACAGTCCAGCTCAGAAGAAACCAGTAAGGTTGCCAGGATTGCCCTAAGCAGACACACACTACGGGATTTCAGTGTGGGCCCTTGACCTTGTAATGCACAGGAATGGAAAACTCAGGCTTCGTTTTAAGATTTTCCTGCTCTACATTAATGGGAATCTAATGACAATCTCATTGAGATATTTGCTATCTACATACCATCTCTCATTGGCTATGCCATCAGCACTGCCTGCTCAACATGGCAAAGGAGAAAATCCTCCTCTCTTACTCTTACTATATTTCTGAATAGGATAATAAGCATAGAAGAAATTAAAAGGTGTCAGTCATCTGCCTCAGGGTCAGCAAACTTTTCCTGTAAGGGGCCAGGTAGTAAATATTCTAGGCTTGATGGGACACACAGGTCTCTGCTGCAACTACTCAACTCGGCCATTGTAACATGAAAACAGTCTGTAACAAATGAGCATGGTCATCTCCCAGTAAATCTTTATTTAAGGACACTGAAATTTGATTTTCACGTAATCTCCAAGTGTCACAATGTATTATTCTTCTTTTGGGAATATCTGCACTCCCATGGTTCATTGCAGCATTATTCACAAGAGCCAAGATATGGAAACAACTTAAGTGCCCATGAGTGGACGAACGGATGAAGAAGATGTGGTATGTATTTATATACCACGGAATATTATTCAGTCATGAGAAAGGACATCCTGCCATTTGTGACAACATGAATGGAGCTTGAGACATTACGCTAAGTGACATAAGTCAGACAGAGAAAAATTAATACTGTATGATATCCTCATATGCTAAACCTAAAAAAGCCAAACGTGTACAAACAGAAAGTAAAATGGTGGCTACCAGGGGATGGGGGGTGGGGTTATAAGACAGATGTTGTTTAAGGACACAAACTTGCAATAAGCCCTAGAGATCTAATGCACAGTATAATGAATATAGACAACAATATTATATTATAATCATCAGACCTGCTAAGAGACTAGAACTTAACCATTCCAACCACTAAAAAGAAATGATAATTATATGACATGACAGACATGCTAATTATTGCTACACTGGCGATCATATTACAACATATAAATGTATCAAATTAAGCTGCTGTACACCTTAAATTTACACAATGTTATATGTCAGATATACTTCAATAAAAAAAGTTTTCCAAGATAAATAAATGAATAATATTATTCCTCCTTTGATTTTTTTCAATCATTTAAAAAATGTAAAATCTATTCTTAGCTTTCAGGCCATGCAAAAACAGGTGTAGGGCCAGATTTGACCCATGGGCCATGACTTCCTGACCCCTGATCTAACTCACTAAAAGCCCCCAGACCAGATGGATTTACTAAATAACTTTCATTAACCTGCAAGGATCAGATAATTTCTATGCCATTTGAACTGTTTCAGAGCGTAGGTCAAAATAATTAACATTTATTGAGCATTTAATGTGTCAAGAAATATATTAAGTTCATTATACCCACTATTTAAGCAGCTCTAAAGGTGGCTAATTATCATGACCCCCAAGTTCCAGATGAATAAATTGAGGCTCAGAGAAGGTAACTTGCCAAAGGTCACAAAACTAGTAAATGAAAGGACTGGGCTTTGAGACTGGATCCTGTCTCCAGAGCCCACACTGTTGTTTGTGAGAGTGTTGAATCATCACATCTCCCCCTCCGAGTTCTGAATCAAGTGAAAAATATACATGGGAGTAAAACAGCTCTCAAAAGATCAGCTCCATAAAGCTGAATTCTAGGCCAAAATGAACTTACCCAAGCTCAGGTGAACAGCTACCATCTACTGGCAATATCCCCTGGCCCGCCCCCGTGAGCTTAAAGACATGACAGTAGCAAAAAAGAAAAAAAGAAAAAGAAAACAACAAAAAAAAATGATAAAAAAAAATTTAAAGAGAGAAAGAAAGCAAAGAAAAAATAAAACAAGCAAAAAAACAAAGAAAGAAAGATATCACGGAAGCAGAAGCAGAGCAGTTATGTACACATGGGGGGGAATGGGAATGATAACACCCTTACCTACATTCCAGAGTGTTATAAGAAGTGCAGACAATTATACCCCAGAATACCCTCTGGGACAGGAAAGGAGCAGAGATGAGTGGCCTGCAAGCAGCCAGGTGCTGAGGGAGCCAAGGAGGGGTGCATAGCTTCACATACCCCATAATCCATTGCCCAGTTTCACAGCCAGTTCTCCTTGTGAGAAGGGGACAACCTCTCTCCTACAGGCAGGCGAAGAGTGGGTTATAAGCAGCTCCAATCCAAGCAATGTAGGGACCATAACGATCAGCTCAATTATGTTTACAATTGCCAAGAGTTGTAACAATCTAAACAACCACCACTTGCTATACACTCACTGACACAGAATGGGGTCCAAGATGCATTACTGAGTGAGAAGAGGAAGTTACAGAACTCTACACAGAGCATGATCTTATCTGTATCAGAGTGGCTGCGGGTGGAGAAAGCTCCCACCAGTGGCCAACATTATAATCGCAAGTCCCCTACCAGGGGATCCTTAAGGGAACAGTGCCGGACTGTGGCCAGAGAGCTGTAACCGCGTCCTGTACCTCTGGACTGCAGTGGATGGCAGAAGCTGGCCTGGAGGACACCTGCTTAATTTCATCTACCCCTGGGAAGGGCAGTAAGAAATGATGCCTCTCTGAAAGAAGTCCTTTCAGCCTAGGCTGTAAATTCCCAGCCAAAGAGTGTCTCATTTATCCCATTAGAAAAGGGCTGAGATTCAAACCCTGCTATCATCATGTTCCTCACCCTCCTTTATCAGCCACGGCACAAACGTTATTAATAAACTGCTTGGCAAAAAGCCTGCGACAAAGAGGGAGGGGGTGCCGGACACAATCGCTGCCCCTGGAGAACTACAGTCTAGGATGAGAAGATGATAGATAAAAAGATATTGATATTGACAAATTTAAAGCATAGGGTTAGTAATACATTAATAGAACAAACAGGATTTTATTTATGATTTACATCTTAGTTCTTTCCAAAAATATTTGAGTTACAGTATTAGAATGGAAGGAGGTGCTGAATCATTTAGGACAGAGAGAGCCCAAGACTTGCAGCTGGAAGGACAGTAATGCAAACACGAGTTACTGATCTCCAACTTTCAGAGTCAATCTATAGTCAAAGCACTTAACATATGACAAAGGAGGCAAGACTATACAATGGAGGGAAGACAGTCTCTTCAATAAATGGTGCTGGGAAAACTGGACAGCTACATGTAAAAAAATGAAATTAGAACACTCTTTAACACCATACACAAAAATAACCTCAAAATGGATTAAAGACCTAAATGTAAGACTGGACACTATAAAACTCTTAGAGGAAAACATAGGCAGAACACTCTCTGACATAAATTGCAGCAACATCTTTTTCGATCCGTCTCCCAGAGTAACGGAAATAAAAACAAAAATAAACAAATTGGACATAATTAAACTCAAAAGCTTTTGCACAGCAAAGGAAACCATAAACAAACCAAAAAGACAACCCACAGAATGGGAGAAAATATTTGCAAACGATGAGACTGACAAGGGATTAATCTCCAAAATTTACAAACAGCTCATGCAGCTTAATATCATAGAAACAAACAACCCAATCCAAAAATGGGCAGAAGACCTAAATAGACATTTCTCCAAAGACATACAGATGGCAAGGGGCACATGAAAAGATGTTCAACATCGTTAATTATTAGAGAAATGTAAATCAAAACTATAATACGATATCACCTCACACCAGTCAGAATGGCCATCATCAAAAAATCTACAAACAATAAATGCTGGAGAGAGTGTGGAGAAAAGGGAAGCCTCCTACACTGTTGGTGGGAATGTAAATTGGTATAGCCACTGTGGAGAACAGTATGGAGGTTCCTTAGAAAACTAAAAATAGAGTTACCTATTGTATGATCCTGCAATCCCACTCCTGGGCATATACCCAGAGAAAAACATGGTCTGAAAGGATACACACATACCCCCAATATTCACTGCAGCACTGTTTACAATAGCCAAGACATGGAAGCAACCTAAATGTCCATAAACAGAGCAATAGATAAAGAAAATGTGATATACACATATAGAATGGAATATTACTCAACCATTAAAAAAGAATGAAATAGGGCTTCCCTGGTGGCGCAGTGGTTGAGAGCCCGCCTGCCGATGCAGGGGACACGGGTTCGTGCCCCCGTCCGGGAGGATCCCACATGCGGCGGAGCGGCTGGGCCCGTGAGCCATGGCCGCTGAGCCTGCGCGTCCGGAGCCTGTGCTCTGCAACGGGAGAGGCCACAACAGTGAGAGGCCCGTGTACCGCAAAAAAAAGAAAACAAAACAAATTGGCACTAATAAGTGGGTTTATTGGTCTCTTCTAATTGTATAATTTAATTTAGTACAAAGTTTGTAAAATATCAAAGGTTATATATATATTGTTTCTACGACATGGTATTGCATTTATATCTTTTTTTTTTTTTTTTTTGTTTTTTGCGGTCCGGGGGCCTCTCACTGTTGCGGCCTCTCCCGTTGCGGAGCACAGGCTCCGGACGCACAGGCTCAGTGGCCATGGCTCACGGGCTCAGTGGCCATGGCTCACGGGCCCAGCCGCTCCGCGGCATGTGGGATCTTCCCAGACCGGGGCACGAACCCGTGTCCCCTGCACCGGCAGGCGGACTCTCAACCACTGCGCCACCAGGGAAGCCCCTGCATTTATATCTTTTTAATACAGGGATCTGTGACAGCAGCACCTTCATGTTGTATTTTTTTTACTGAAATTGTAAAATACCCATTTTAAAGACATCAACTATTCTAAATTGTGTACAGGATATTCCTTTAGTGGTGCAATTAAAATGTATGAATATTTGCTTTTTGAAAAAATGTATTTTCTGTTAAAGGTTTAAAGATTTTTGCTATATATTGTGGAAGAAAATGTAATCATAAATATTAATTTTGTACCTATATTGTGCAATACTTGAAAATAACGGTATAAAAGTACTTTGAGTCAGGGTCTTACATGTTAAGAGGGACTGAAATAGTTCATATTATGTATTAAAATTCTTTAAAATTAAAAAAAAAAAGAATGAGTATAGGGGGTGGAGTCAAGATGGCGGACTAGGAGGACGCAGAATTCACGTCTCCGCACAACTAGGGCACCTACCAGGCACCGGTGGGGGGCCACGGACACCTAAGGGGACGGGAGGAACCCCCAGCGACTGGGTAGGACGTGGGGTGTGGGGGAGAGTGAGGGGGGAGGAGAAGTGGAGGCAGGACGGGACCAGCACCCCTGAAGGGCGGCTGGGGGAGGGGAGGAGTTTCTTCACCCAGGGGGACCCACCCACGGTTAGGGGTCCAGCGGTGACAGGGGAGACCCTGGGGGAGACCAAGAGGGGCTGGCGCAGAGGACAGGAAGGGAACAACATGGCAGTGCTTTCCCTGTCCACTTAGGCACCGGGGAGCCTCTTGGGCACCTGGGCCTAATCCTCTGCCCTCGGAGCCTCCCTCCTACAGTGCAGAGCCCAAGCCCCGCCCCTACACACCCACCCAGGGCCCCACCTCTACACTCGGAGACCCCTTCTGAGACTCCCTCCAACCGCTGGGCAAAACCCCACCCACACACCCTCACCCAGGGCTTACCTCCAACTCCGGAACTCCACACTCCACAGGTGCTGCCTCTCCCCTTCACGCAGGTCCTAAGCAGAGGCCCCGCCCCACACTTGAACGCTGCCCGCGCTAAGCCCCGCCCCGAAGGCCTTCGGCTCCATGGGTCCTGAGCCTAGGCCCTGCCCTATGTTCAAACGTCGCCCTATGTTCAAACGTCGCCCTACGTAGGCCCTGCCCCACCCTAAACCCCATCCCTGCCTAAGTTCCACCCCCCCTAAACTCCTCCCCCCATAGCCAAGGCCTTTTTTTTTTTCTTTTTTCTTCTTTTAGGTTGGGGTTTTGTTTTACCTTGTTGTTGCTGATTCATTTATATATATTTTTTCTAATCTTTTATTTTTCTAATTTTATTTTATTCTTTATACTTTGTTATTGTTCTGCTCCTTTTGGCTTGTTCCCCCCTTTTTTTTTTTTTTTGCGATACACAGGCCTCTCACTGTTGTGGCCTCTCCCGTTTGGAGCACAGGCTCTGGACGCGCAGGCTCAGCGGCCATGGCTCACGGGCCCAGCCGCTCCATGGCATGTGGGATCTTCCTGGACCGGGGCACGAACCCGTGTCCCCTGCATCGGCAGGCGGACTCTCAACCACTGCGCCACCAGGGAAGCCCTGTCCCAGTATAATTTTTTAGAGTGCTTCATTTTGTTAGCAAACAAAACTTGGGTCCACTCATCCACTTGCAGTAAAGCCAATCTACTGACACTGGGTTGTGGTGAAGGAAAGTGTAAGGTTTATTGCAGGGCGCCAAGCAAGGAGTCCAGGCAGCTAACACTCAAAAGGCCTGAACTATCCAATGGCTTTCAGAGAAAGGTTTTTAAAGACTGGGTGAGGGAAAGGGTTGCAGGGTACACAATCAGCCCGTGGACATTCTTCTGATTGGTTGGTGGTGAGGCAATCAGGAGTCAACATCATCAACCTTCTGGTTCCAACCAATCTGGGGTCCACGTGTTCATGGTCAGCATACAGTTAACTTCTTCCACCTGGTGGGGGTTTCAGTATCTGCAAAACAGCTCAAAGGACATGGCTCAGAATATTATCTTAGCCCTTGAGGAGGAACTAAAGGTCCTTGACGTTGTTTAATGGTTAAACTATTATTTTTTGTCTTGCTTGACTGTTTTCTTTTGTTTCTGCATTTTCACACTTTGATTGAATCTATTCTTTGGAACTCGGGAAGACCTAGGAATCTAAAGTTTTTATGAAAACAAAAGGCAGGCACAGGACATGGGGGGATCTGTCCTGGGAAGGCCTCATAGGGTCCTGCTCGGTTACACTTTTACCCTCAAGTGTGCTGGTTTGGACAACAAATTATACAGCCCCCTCCTTCTCCATGCCTTTGCCCAAGCTGAATTTCCCACCTGAAATGCCCTCTGTTTCTGTTTCCTCTTCCAATTCAAATCCTTTATTTCCTTTGTACCAAATTCAAGATTGTCTGTGCCAAACCACCGCTCACAAGTTCCTTTCCTTTCTCTGAAATCCTCTAATACCCAAATAATTTATGCCACAAGATCTTTGACTGTGTTGCTTTTTTTTTGCCCCAGTAGTTTTCATTCATTGGATAATGGATATTTGTCATTTGCAGCTACCCAATCTTCTCAAGATTCCCCCTACATTTTGGCAATTTTTTTTTTCTTTTTGCGGTACGTGGGCCTCTCACTGTTGTGGCCTCTTCCGTTGCGGAGCACAGGCTCTGGACGCGCAGGCTCAGCGGCCATGGCTCACGGGCCCAGCCGCTCTGCGGCATGTGGGATCTTCCCGGAGCAGGGCACAAACCCGTGTCCCCTGCATCGGCAGGTGGGCTGTCAACCACCGTGCCACCAGGGAAGCCCTTGGCAATATTTTTATATGAAGTATGCCTTCCCACAGTAGAAACTCCAAACTGGGCATTCCTAGACTTCCTTGCAGCTAAGGTGGGGGCCCATGACCTGGGTTCCACCAACCAGATGCATCCACGTGAGTTGTGGCTTCACAAATGAGCAGGGTAAAGAAGTGGCGGGGGGGAACCTGCTCCTGGTAGCCAAGTAGCCAAGGTCCCTGGTGGCCAGGGGAAGCAGAGCTGGAGAGACAGGTGTCCAGTCCCACGGGAAGGTGACTAATGAGGGTGCCTAGCAAGTTCGTGAAGGTATATTCTCTGGAGCCTAGAGTAAGCCCCATCACGTGGTTGGTTATTTTTCCCATCTGCGAGGATTTAGAGCATCCCAGAGGTTCTTAATATTCTCTAATAAGTCCTTTTGCACCTTTGTATTGGAAAAACCTACAAGTCTTTGCTCTGTATGTCTCCTTCTGTCCTTTGCTCCTGTATGTCTCCTTTGCTCTCATACTATTACCACTTTCACAATACTTCTATACCAGATGTGTGTGTGGAGGGATGGTCCCTGCCCCAAGCCATTCTCCACAACACCAGCTGGGTGTCCTACAATTTAACTCAGTTCTGACACTATGCCACAGGTTAAGGGCTCAGTCCCACAAGACTGCTCCCACCCCACTTCCAATGCCAATCACAGGTGTAGGACCCCAGGTTACCCACAACTTCTGTCAAACATGGGGACAAATCAGGGGTTCCCATGATCCACACACCCTCCCCCCACCGCCGCCGCCATAAGGTTCAATTACTTTGCTAGAGTGGCTCATAGAACTCAGGGAAATGTATTTACCAGTTTATTAAAGGATACGATAAAGGATATAGATGAAGAGACAGATGAAGAGTACATAGGGCGAGGTCTGGGGGGTGGGGCGGGGTCCCGAGTGCAGGAGATTGTGTCCTTGTGGAGTTGGGGTGCGCCACCCTCCCAGTACGTGGATGTATTCACCAACTTGAAAGCTCACTGAACCCCATACTCTTGGGATTTTATGGAGGCTTCCTCTTGTAGGCATGATCAATTATTAACTCCATTTCCAACCCCTCTCCCCTCTCTGGAGGATGATGGATGGGGCTGAAAATTCCACACTTCAAATCACGGCTTGGTCTTTCTGGTGAGCAGCCCCCATCCAGGGTTCACCCGGGAGCCCACCTAGAGTCACCTCGTTAGAACAAAAGATGTTCCTAGTGTTCTTATCACTTAGGGATTTACAAGGGTTTTAGGAGCTCTGTGTCAGGAACATATATATATATATATATATATATATATATATATATATATATATATTTATTTATTTATATATATATAATTTTTTATTTCACAAGCTTCATCTAGCCAGATGGGTACCAATGTATGCAACCAGAAACTCTGACTAATACAATCTGTCCGGTGTCTACAGCTAGTTGATAATCTCCCTACAGTCACCTTGGATTTTTGAGAGCTTTCATATTCCTCTAAGCACCTCCCAGCACAGACAATGCTACATCAGGTTGTGCCCAGTGGAATCAGGGAAACATATTCAGGGGAGAGTGTGTGGTTGTGAAGCCTACAGTGTGGTGTTGTGGCTCCTTGCCAGGCACAGGGACAAACAGTGAACAAAACAGTCCAAAGACAGATGCCCACCGGACCCCAGATGAATTCCAATGAGGCACTAAAGCTTTTGGCTGGCTGCCTGTGTGCTTTCTCCACTTCTCCCAAAGTGGGTGCCAAGCAGGGTCCCTTATTGTCCCTAGAGAAACAGTTTAGTGGCCTGTCATCTTGAGAATTTACCCAGCCTGCCTTGCAGAGTTGCCTAATTCCAGGAAGCATTGTGTAGCTTACTTGGTTTCTTAAAGGGCCTCACATTGTAGAAGCTTATTTATTTGCTCTTTCTTTTCTGGATTTAGAAATTTGCATGCTATGTGCTTATTATGCAGGGAAACATTTCAAAGGGACTGATGACTGGAATCCTGTCCAAGGCAGTAACAGAGCGATCGACTCCATTCAAAATCTGTGGCTCTCCGAAACTATTTTAGAAACAATTCTCATATTTTTTGTGAACTCTTGGTAGGAGGAAAGTCATAATTCATCGATACTCTAGAAACATAACTTATTTCCTGCTCCACCTCCAACATGTATCATGCATAACCTTTGACCTAAAAAATCTACTTTATGGATTTTTCTTAGAGGATTAATCAAAAAATGCAAATAAGGACTTATGTATCAAAATGTTCCCTGAAGTATTATTTCTAGTAGTACAACATTTAATAGCATGGAAATGCTCACAAATAATGCTACCTGGGGTGAAAAAGTAAGAAATAGAGCATCTTAATAGTGAAAGGGAGAAATATACCAAAAAATTTAACTGTGAGTATCTCCAAGTGGCAGAATTATAGCCATTTTTATTTTGTCCTTTATACTTTGCCATGCTTTGTCTATAACAAATACACCCCTTACCTGAAAATGTATTTTTCAGCTGAAAATGTATCCAGCTTAGACTTCTTAGGGTTGATTAATCTAGAGAAGGATCTTTCCTTATATAAGTATGTTCTCTTATTCAGATGTTGAGCTTTGAATTATAATTACTATCCATCAGTATCCTCAGGACCCCCAAACCTCAGCCCAACCCGTGTCCGATGCTGAACCCCCCCATCTGAATGAAGTTGGTCCATTTTTTATTTAATAAGCATTTTGAGGACTTCCTTGGTGGCGCAGTGGTTAAGAATACGGCTGCCAATGCAGGGGACACGGGTTAGCCCTGTTCCTGGAAGATCCCACAGGCCGCGGAGCAACTAAGCCCGTGCGCCACAACTACTGAGCCTGCGCTCTAGAGCCCGCGAGCCACAGCTACTGAAGCTTGTGCACCTAGAGCCTGTGCTCCGCAACAAGAGAAGCTACCGCAATGAGAAGCCCACACGTTGCAATGAAGAGGAGCCCGCGCTCGCTGCAACTAGAGAAAGCCCACGCACAGCAATGAAGACCCAACACAGCCAAAAATAAAAAAATAAATTAAATTAAATTTTTTTAAAGTTTAAAAAAAAAAGCAAGCAGTTACTGTGTGCCAGGCTCTGTGCCAGAGCATAAAGCACTGAACACAACAGCCCAGATGGTGCCCGTCATGGGGCTGTTACTACCTCTAAGCCACAACCCTCAAGTAGGCACCAATGTGACTCTGCCAGGAAAATGGATTCCAGGCACCTCTATCTGAAATCCAGGGCTTTCCTCCCATAGCAATAAGTTGTGCTCACTGATCAGCTCACAAATATCCAGGCCACTCCAGTTTCATTCTTTCCAAGAGCTGTTGCCCCAGACTTCTGGGAATTTGCTTTTTTGAGTTTCTGAACCATTTGTTCTTTATCCAACAAACATTTATGAAAATCTTCAGAGAGCCAGGCACTGGTCTGGCCTTGTGTTGCAAATAGAACTGTCAAGGTTCCTGCCCGTAAGATGCTCATCACTTAGTCTGTGGACAGAAAAGCCCACCAAAGGGCTTTAATCAGCACTGGGAATTTCCCTGGGAAAGATGTGGCAGGAAGCTTAGCTGATAGACACCTCTTGGAATAGCTGCCTCTTCACTGAGAACTGCTATCAGTGCTGCAAATTTATTTGGGGGGCCTAATTTTAATCGTTCCCAGCCTATTTCAATTCCCCCCCAGCCTACCCTCCCAGATGGACTAAACCGAGCACTCTAACACTGGGCACTTAAACAAAAGCTCATTCATCATTCATGGAACACTTGAATGGAAAAAAAGGAAAACCAAAACTGGCACAAATTTCCCAACCTCCTAATCCCATACTCTAGATCCCATGAAGAAGACTGTCACAAACGTCGGTTTGGATGAGTTTTCAAAGGACAAGATCTCAATAGCTCCTTCTAGATAAGTGGCTCTCAACGAGCGGTCCCCAGAGGAGCAACAGCAGCATCACCTAAGAACTCATTAGAAATGCAAATTCTTGGGCTTCCCTGGTGGCGCAGTGGTTGAGAGTCTGCCTGCCATACATTACATGTATGACTGCATCGTACTGACCATGTAAAGTTATGCTTTGATCCATGCCACATTTTGAGCCAAAAGTACTCACTATTTGTACAGTCAACCCTCCATGTAAGGGGAAGAAAAGCAACTAGGGAGTTAGGTTGTCCTATCATACTGAAACCTTAACCTCTTTTCTCAAAAAGTGAATTTAGGTGAATTACAATTACAGCAGGATGTGCTTCCCTGATGGCGCAGTGGTTGAGAGTCCGCCTGCCGATGCAGGGGACATGGGTTCGTGCTTCGGTCCGGGAGGATCCCATATGCCGCGGAGCGGCTGGGCCCGTGAGCCATGGCCGCTGAGCCTGCGCGTCCGGAGCCTGCGCGTCCAGAGCCTGTGCTCCGCAACAGGAGAGGCCACAACAGTGAGAGACCCGCGTACCGCAAAAAAAAAAAACAAAAACCAATTACAGCAGGATGAACTGAACGTTTCCTAGTCAAGATTATGGTGTAGCATATTTATGGCTGAAGCAGGCTTCCTTTCCATGGCCTTGACCTGAGGCTGATGTTGAATTTATCTGCATCCCCTGGCTTGCGCTGTCAAACTGGGTCCCTAAGAGGTACCCCAGTGATAGAGTAATGTAGGCTGGGATTCAAAGTAGCTGCAGTGAACACAGCTTGAATATGACACACACATTCGACTACCCGGAGAAGAGATAGGAAGATGCTTCTAGAGTGCCTTTTGTGTACAATAGTCCAGTGTTGAGAGAACTTTCATAGCTTAGTAGCTGTCTAGGGGAAATTTCATAAATAGCAATTACCAGATGTGGGGCTGTGTTAGTCAGAGCGGTCAGAAAGCCAGTGAGATAACTTTGGTTGCTGATGCCTTGTGGTCTCGGAGAAAAGGGAGGACTAGAAAAGGACTGAGTTCTCTCTGCACAATGCCCGCTGCTTATTTCTTCTAATTCAAAGCTTCAAATGCCCGTGAGTTTTTGCCGCTATTTTACGTAACAGAATAATGTATCCTTTGGTTCATGTCACTAACCTAGTATCTTGCAGTTGTTTTACTGGGTAGAAGTGCAAACTTCTATTTGAAGGTCACTATGGTAACAGTAATCTAGGGCAGCTCCGGGGGAATACAATCAATCATCTAGGGGGTTCAGAGCCTTTCAGGCTCTGGGGCAGGGAGGAGGAAAATTGTCACCAAAAAATTAGGTCACTTGTGGTTGAAGGAATTTAGAGCTGAGATCCTGAGACTCAGAGGAGGGGTTTTCAGACCCTTCAGTGCACCCCAGGCACAGAACCAGACCGATTACGGAGGTTATCTTTCTGTTCTTTACCAAACGTTACGGGGAGACACAATTAAAAGGAAGAGAATAACTAGCAAGTCTGCGAAACATCTCGGGCAGAGGAAGGACTTCAGTGCGTGCAGCGGTGCTTTTCAGTTTTCGGTTACAAAACCGCGGCACATCCCTTCTTGCATGTCGCCATCAACACCACCCCTCCGCCTCGTGAGGAGGAGGAGGAGTTCCCCGCATCCCACTAGGAAGCTCGCGTGCACAGAAGGCCAGCATAGCCCCTGTCCTAGGAGCCGGGCAGCGAGAGTCGGATCCGCAGTGGCGAAGCCGGCAGAGGGGTTGCGCCGCGGTGGTGCATTGGGGCTTTACGGTAATTCTCCGCGGCGCTCTGCCCCGCCCTCGTGCGCAGGCGCGGAGCCGTTGCTGGCAGAGAGGTTGCGGGCACAGCGGTTTCCAGAGCGGCTTCGACTGGAGAGAGTAGACTGTGCAGGTTCCGAGGCCGACCGGGAGGCTCGGCCAAGCCCGAAGCCCCGGCGTCCGCCTCCTGCGGCGTCCTCGGTAAGTCGACGGCCCTGAGGGAGTCGCCACCCGAGACCCCGAAAGGCACACTCCCCGGTGCCGGGGACTGGAGGCGGGAGGGCACTGGCGAGATCCAGCCCTCAGGCCGCCCCTGGCCCCGCGGTGGGGGTGGGAGCCGGGAACAAGTCCCAGGGAAACCGAGGCCCGACGTGGGGCCGGGGAGGAAGGCTGGAGCTGCGACCCCAGATGCCATCCCGGCCGGGGGCCCAGCACGAGACAGGAACCGGGGTTCCCCAGGGAAACGGAAGCCCGATGTCAGTGGGCGAGGAGGGGCCGCGGGCTCTGGGGTGCAGAGCATCCCACCGCCCCCTCGAAGTCAGCAGGTGCCCCGGGCCGGAGGCGGGCGCTCTGGGCTTTACTTCCAAAGTTCAGACCCAGCCGCGTCTGTCCTCCGTACTCCCTGGGTCTCAGGAATTTGCCTGAGGCTGTAAACTCTGAGGGCTTTCCCCTCCCTGCGTAGAAACTGGACCTTGTCCCCAACGGGAGACTTAAGCCCCGTGCGGTTCTCTTGGACCCGCTTGAAAGGACGCTTTCGTCTTCCTGATCCCTAGAATCCGTCGCCATGAACCCCGCCGTCGTCGTGGTCCACGGTGGCGGAGGCAGCAATATCTCCAAGGACCGCAAGGAGCGGGTACGCCAGGGCATTGTCAAAGCCGCCACCGTGGGTTACAACATCCTCAAGGAGGGAGGGAGCGCAGTTGACGCTGTGGAAGGAGCCGTGACCGTCCTGGAAGATGATCCCGAGTTCAACGCAGGTAAATTTGCACTGCAACTGGTAACTGATGCTAAACCGGGTTAAGCTTCTACCCCCAGATAAATAGAACCTCTCTAAAGTGTCAGTGAGTCTCCAGCTTTATGCTAAAATCTAATATGCTGAAAAGATTTAGTTTTTCTCTCTTTACCTGTTGACCAAGTTGCTCTAAAGAATTTTAAAATTCATTATTCCCCCTTTTTTCTTTAATCTGCTTTCTAGAATTCACATACCAAGAGGCTTTTTTTGGTTTTTTGTGTTTTTTTTTTTGCGGTATGCGGGCCTCTCACTGTTGTGGCCTCTCCCGTTGCAGAGCACAGGCTCCGGACGGCGCAGGCTCAGCGGCCATGGCTCACGGGCCCAGCCGCTCCGCGGCATGTGGGATCTTCCCGGACCTGGGCACAAACCCGCGTCCCCTGCATCGGCAGGCGGACTCTCAACCACTGTGCCACCAGGGAAGCCCCAAGAGGCTTTTTTTAATTACATCTTTTTGTGGGGGAAAAGGGTAGACTACTGTTGGGTGGCAACCTTGGGAGCTTCAGGGTGTAATTTGAATCGGTCCCCCATACAGGGAGGGCAGGGAGAGACCACAGGAAAAGGCAGATCTCTCCAGATTGGTAGGTGGCAGGTTTAATAAGCATGGGAACTTACACAAGAGGCTTGCCTTGCAGGATAAATAGACCCCTGTCCATGCCCACCAGAATCTTAAAAGTTTATATAGTGGCCTTATCTGGGCTCAGTCACATATACCGTCCAGATGGTCTCAACACCACATCTCAAGGCTGTGTCCTGGGCAGCTTCTGGTGCAAGAAGACAAGCGGAGAGCACACTCCAAGGAAAGAGGAAGGGGTGAGGGGACTCCGATTGCCCCAGCGCTCCACCCCTCGTGACCGGCTCTTACAGTCTCACACACTTTCTCTTCCGCAGCGTGCCCTGAGCGGGCAATAACGGGTGGCTCATTTGGCGGCCGTCTGGCTGCATTGCAGGCAGATGCCACAGCATCAGGCACATACAGAAGAAAACACGGGTTAAGACAATAATTCCCCAGATCACGGATACCTTTCTCCACTGAGAGCCTCATGATTCAGACCACTGTTACTAAGTCCCCTAGGCGGGGAGCCAGATCACTCAAGAGCGTTCACTTGTGTCCTATGATTGAATAAAGGCAACACATTAACAGACCCATCGGGTGTGAGCACACAACATCCTGTTTGGATAATGGCCTAGGTGCTGCCTCTTTGCAAGGCAGTGATAATGGCCAAGGTCTTTCTGTTTTGGAGGAGAGCTTGTCTCATTAGAGACATGTCAGTGTGCTGGAAGAACAGGCTTTGTCGGCTGTCATTCAAGGCTTGGTGAGTGCGTTTAGTAGGAGGCTGTCATGTGCTGTCATGTGCTGCAGGCCAACGGAGGGCTCAAAGACAGCAGCGAAAAGATCATGCCAGTGGGAAACAGAACATGCCCACCTGGCCTTGAGGAGAGGGAGGTCAGCAGCCTTAGGAATTTGATCTGGTTTTATATACCATACACGTTAGCCAGGGAAGGTAGTGCTGTCAGGCTTGAGGAGATGGACTGGTGGCAGGATACATGAGACCAGAACCCTCACCTTCTCTTTTCCAGTGGTGCGCATTCCATTCCAGGTATAATGCGTTTCAACAGGCCCAGCTTGCGGCAGGACAACAGGAACCCAGTGGAGATTGAGTAGTTCCCCCTCACCCATCCTGTTAGAGTGTCCCAGTGCAAATTCCAGTAGATAATCTCCTTTCCCAGGTGTGACGCAGTTTGGTGTTCTCGGCACCGTAGCACGTTGATCCGTGGTGAAAGTCAGGGCAGCGGCTGTTTCCTGACGTACCTTTTTGGCATCGGTGCTTCCGTAGGGGTCCCCAGTCTGGGATATGGGGCGACAGCGCTACTCGTTGATCATGCAGGTGTGTGAAAGCCTTGAACGGCACGTTAGTACACCCAGCCACAGTGGCTTTATCTGTTAGTAACTTAAGGCACTGCTTTAACATTCCATTTTTCCTTTCTCTCAGCCCTGCTGCTTGTGAGTTACAGAGGAGAGAGAACCTGCCTTCAGTGCCGTGTTCCCTTGCCCAGTCTTGCGTGTCCCAATCCACAGTCTTTGAAATGTGACCCCAGTCACCATCTATTTGATGAGGGACCCCTACATGGGACTTAGCTTCTCTAATCCCCTAACAGCGGCGACCTGGTTTGCACGGGGACAGGGGAAAGCTTGGGTTAAGCCAGATGTGGAGACCACACAAACCAGGGAACGTTAGAGCCCTCTCTCAGAGGGAGGAGGCCAGTAGAGTCAGTGTGCCAATCCCTGACCGGTTAGGAGCTCTGGTGGGTGGCCTCAGACTCCTTTGGCAGTTGCCACGGGCACTGTTTAGGACACACAGGACATGCTGTGATCGCATTAACCCAGTCACTGTGTTTCAAGGGCAACCCGACATCTGTGGCAATATGCCATCCCACCCGAGCTCTGTGGTGGCCACTCTTTCCGTGCATCCAATCTGCTGTATCTACTGAAGGGTCAGTTGCTAGGGATTGAACCCAAGCTAGGGCATCAGCTCCCTGATGGCCAGGGGGTGTCAGTGCCTTATGAGCCAGGACATGGACGACAGTGAGGATTGCCTCAGGCTCTTGCAGGCAAACCCAAATGTCACCTCCACACATCCTGACCCCACAAAGGCCCACTCGTTAATCATCCACCCTTCAGCTTCCTGTTGTCAGAGCCATAGGGTTAATCTCTTTAGAACAGCCCAGCTGTCAGTGCAAGGGGTTACCGGCCAGGGACCAGGAGTAGTAACCAGCCAAAGGGCTCTGAGTTCAGCCCGCTGGCCGCTGCAGTTCATCCCTCCTGAGAGGCTCCACCTGGACCTCTGTGTACACCGCTGCTAGGAGCTGTTGCTCTAGGGGAAGTACGTGGGGTTCCTGCCCCCTTCCAGAGCTGAGACCAAATCCCAGGAGCACTCTCCCCTTCTGTTTTCTCTGCCACAGCGCCTGCCCTATACCTACCAGAGTCACAGGCACATCTAACTCAAACGGTAGCCCTGCTGGGGAGACGCCCAGAGCTGTCATGTGCTTCACTAGCGCTTTTGCCTTCTCAAAGGCAGCTTGCCACTCTGATCCCCAGTCCCACACATGCCCTTTCTTTACTGCATACCATAAACTGTACCCATTTTAAGGTTTGAAAAATGTACATACCTGTGTAACCACACTACAACCAAGATGTTAAAATTTCCATCACCCGGGGGCTTCCCTGGTGGCTCAGTGGTTGAGAGGCCGCCTGCCGATGCAGGGGACACAGGTTCGTGCCCCGGTCCGGGAAGATCCCACGTGTCGCGGAACGGCTGGGTCCGTCAGCCATGGCCGCTGAGCCTGCGCGTCCAGAGCCTGTGCTCCGCAACGGGAGAGGCCACAACAGTGAGAGGCCCGCGTACTGCAAAAAATAAATAAATAAAAATAAATAAAAAAATAAATTTCCATCACCCCCAAACATTCCTTCCTGCCACTTTGCAGTTAATCCCCCCTCCCAGCCCCAGCACCAGGCATCCACTGATCTGTTTTTGTCATAAATTTGCATTCTCTAGAATTTCATATAAATGCAGTCACAAAGAGTGTATTCTTTTGTGTTTGGCTTCTTTCACGCAAATCAGTCCTTTTTTAGAGTAATAATCATCATAGCTACCACGAGTGTCTACTATGTACCAAACAGTGGTCTAAGAAACTTGCATGATTAACTCATTTAATCTGCACCAGAGTCCTATGAGTTCGGTGTAATTATTATCACGCTCATTTGTCAGATGAGAAAACTAAGGCACAAAAAGTTTAAGTAACTTGCTGGAAGACACTCATTTCCTCTTTATTTTGAAGTAGAAAACCTAAGATCTAGGGATTAAGACGCTTCTAGGGAATTACACCACCTACCTGACATCTGTCAGAGAAAAGAATTTCAGCAAATCTTAACCAGTTAGTCAGCAGATATTTAGTAATTGTTCTGTCCCCTTGCCTCTGTTCTGTGCTCTTCAACACTTATACAAAATGTGGCTTCATTACATAGGCATCATCGATTAAATCCTTGGCAGTTGGTGATTGATTCAATCTCCAGTCCCCCCCTCCCCAGAAATCAGGGGGTGGGACTAAAAGTTCCAGCCCTTTAATCCTGGTTGGTTCCGGTGGCAACCAGCCCCCCACCTTTAGGGGGTTTTCAAAAGTTACCTCATTAACATAAATTTGGTTTTGGTTGAAAACTGCTTGTTATGAGTAACAGGACACCCAGGTCACCTGTATGGATCTGAAGTGGTTTCAGGAACTGAGGGCAGAAGACCAAACATTACAACAAAAGATGCTCCCATTGTTCTAATCCCTTAGGAAATTCCAAAGGGTTTGGCAGCTGTGAACCGTACCTGGATGAAGACCAAAATATGTAATTATGATAAATCAAAGTATCACACCTCCTTTGTCAAAGATCAGTTTATATATTTATGTGGATCTGTTTTGGGCTTTCTATTCTGCTCCATTGATCTATCTGTCAAATTCTTTCACCAACATCACACTGTCTTGCTTACTGTAACTTCTAGTAATGTCAGCTGCAAATAGAGACCATTTTATTTCTTCTTTTCCAAACTTTATGCCTTTTCTTTCTTTTCTAACATTGGCTGGGCCATCCAATATTATACTGAATAGGAGTGGTTAGAGCAGAAATTCTTGCATTTTTCCCAGTGTTAGGGGGAAGGCACTGTCTTTCACCGTTAAGTATGATGTTGGTGGTAGGGTTTTATAGGTGCCCTTTACCAGGTTGAGAAGTTCCTTATTCTTAGTTTTTTGAGATTTTTAATCATCTGTGCATGTTGAGTTTTATCAAATCCTTTTGCTGCATCTATTGAATGACCATGTGGTTTTTCTTTTGTCTGTTGATATGGTGAATATTGATTGATTGATTTTTGAATTTTGAACCAGGTTTTCTTCTCTGGGATTAACACCACTTTGTTGTGACATGTTATTTTTTACATATGTGAATGCTGGGTTTGATTTGATGGTGTTTTCTTGAGGATTTTGCATCAATGTTCATGAGAGATACGGGTCTATAGTTTTATTTTCTTATAACATCTGTCTGGTTTTGAAATGAAGGTGATGCTGGCTTCATATGATGAATTGGCAAGTGTTCCCTCCTCTTCTGTTTTTCTCGAAGTTTGTATAAGGTTGCTATTATTTCTTTGTAAATATTTGGTAGATTGGTTTTTTTGTTTGTTTTGATGGAAAGTTTTTAAGAAATGAAATTCTTTAATAGGCATGGCACTATTCAGATTATCTATTTCTTCTTTGAGTGAGTTTTGTCAGTTGTCCTTCAAGAAATGTTTCTATTTGGTTTAAGTTGCTGAATTTGCAACATTTCTGTGTTATGCTTTTGATGTCTGTATGGTCTGTAGAGAGGTCCCCTCTTTCATTCCTGATTTTTGTAATGTGTCTTTTTTTTCTTCGTCAGTCTAGAGTTTATCAAGTTTATTGTTCTTTTCAAAGAACTAGTTTTAGTTTCGGGAAGTGGATTTGGTGAATTTTTCTGTTTTTTTCTTTTCTTATTTATTTATTTGTTTGTTTGCGGCTGCGTTGGGTCTTTGTTGCTGCACGGGCTTTCTCTAGTTGCAGCAAGCAGGGGCTACTCTTTGTTGCAGTACGCAGGCTTTTCATTGTGGTGGCTTCTCTTGTTGCAGAGCATGGGCTCTAGGCACTTGGGCTTCAGTAGTTGCAGCACATGGGCTCAGTAGTTGTGGCTCACAGGCTCAGTAGCTGTGGTACACGGGCTTAGTTGCTCCGCGGTATGTGGGATCTTCCCGGACCAGGGATCGAATCCACGTCCTCTGCATTGGCAGGCAGATTCTTAACCACTGTGCCACCAGGGAAGTCCCATTTTCTGTTTTTTCTTTTGCTCTTTTTCTGTTCTGAATTTCATTGACTTACCTTTATTGTTTCCTTTATTCATTCAGCTTGCTTTGGAAATAATTTACTGTTCTTTTCCTGTTAGATCATTAATTTGAGACTATTCTTTTCTAATACAAGCATTTAATGTTTAAAATTTTACTCTAGCACTGCTTTGATTTTTACATGTTTTTACAGGTTGCCTTAATTTTCATTCTGTTCAAAATGTGTTCTCATTTTCCTTGTGACTTCCTCACTGAATCATGGGCTAGTCAGAAGTGTGATGCTTAATTTCCAAATATTTGTGGATTTTCTAAATACCTCTCTGTTAATGATTTTTAGTTTAATTCTGTTACGATCAGAGGACATACTTTGTGTGATTTGTATTCTTTTAAACTTCGTAAGGTTTGGTTTTTGGCTCAGAATGTGTTCTACCTTGGCCATTTGCACTTAAAAAGACTATGTACTCTGCTCTTGTTGGATGGAAAGATCTATAAATCTCAATAAGGTCAAGTTCATTGGTAATGTTCATACCTTCTGTATCTTGATTGTCCATTTCTGATTAATGAGAGAGGAGTATTGAAGTCTTTAATTGTAACTGGATTCGTCTATCTCTCCTTTGAGTTCTGTCAGTGTTTGCTTCATGTATTTCGAAACTGTTGTTTACAGTATAGATTGTCGTCTTCTTGGTGAACTGACCCCTATATCATTACTTAATGTCCTTATTATTATTTAATGTTCCTTATTGGGAAGTATACTTTGCCTCCAGTTTTCATTTGATTCATTTTGGCATGGTATAATTTGTCCATTTTTACTTTTAACCTATTTGCATCTTTATATTTAAAGTGGATTTTTTTTTATTGGCAGCATGTAATTGTGTCCTATCTTTTTGTACAATTTGACAATCTCTGCTTTTTTTAAGATTTATTTATTTTTTATTTATTTATTTTGTTATTTATTTTTGGCTGCATCGGGTCTTAGTTGCGGCACTCAGGATCTTCACTGAGGCATGCAGGATCTTTCGTTGCAGCACGCGGGCTCGTCGTCGTGGTGTGCAGGCTTCTCTCTAGTTGTGTCGTGTGGGTTTTCTCTTCTCAGGGATCTTAGTTCCCTGACCAGTGATCGAACTGCATCCCCTGCGTTGTAAGCCAGATTCTTTACCACTGGACCACCAGGGAAGTCCTGACAATCTCTGCTTTTTATTGGGGTGTTTAGACCATTTACATTTAATGTGATCATTGATATGGTTAGGCATAACTTTGTCATCTTGCTGTTTGTTTTCTATTTGTCCAGTCTATTCATTGTTCCCTGTTTCCTCTTTTTCTGCTTTTTTCTGCCTTCTTTTGGAATAATTGAATGTTCATAATTCCATGTTATCTCCTTTGTTGGCCTAGTAGCTCGACTTCTTTTTTTAAAGGTTGTTTTAGGGTTTATAGTATATATCTCTCACTTGTCACAGTCTACCTTAAGTAATATCACACTTCATGCGTAAGGTAGGAACCTTTTACAGCATACACCTGTTTCCCCTTTCGTAGCCTTTGTACTACTGTTGTCATATGTTTCACTTATGTGTATAAGTTGCCTAATGCGTTGTTATTATTTTTCCTTTAAACAGTTATATTTTAAAGATATTGTAAAAATAAAGGGAAAAGGTATTTCTGTTTATCCACTTATTAGCCATATCCAGTGTTCATTCTTTGGGGGAATCCTGATTGCTCTTTGCTATCATTTTCCTTCTGCCTGAAGGACTTCCTTTAACATTTCTCATATTGCACATCTGCTATTGATGACTTTTTTTTAACTTCTGTTATGTCTATAAACGTCTTTGTTTTGGGTTTTTGAAAGATGCTTTCACTGGGTGTAGAATTCCAACTTGACAGGTTTTTTTTTTTCTTTGAGGGCTTCAAAGATCTTGCTCCTCTGTCTTCTGGTTTGCATTGTTTATGACAACAAGTATGCTATCATTTTTCTTTTTTCCTCTGTACCTAATGTGTCTTTCTCTGGCTGCTTTTAAGATTTTCTCTTTCTCATTAGCACTAAGCTGTTTGATCATAATGTGCCTGAGTGTAGTTTTGTTCATGTTTCTTTTTCTTGGAGTTTGTTGTGCTTTTCGGATCTGTGAATTTATAGGATTCACCAAATTTGAAAATTCATCATTTCCTTGAATATTTTTTTTGTCCCTCTATCTCACCTCTCCTTTTGGGGACTCCAATTACACATATACTGGCTGCTTGAAACTGTCCCTGAACTCAGTGATAAACTCTGTTCAATTATTTTTCAGTCATTTTGTTTGCTGTGTCTTCAAGTTCATTCATCTTTTGTGCAGTGTCTAATTTGGTGTTAATCCTATCCAGTGTATTTTTCATTTCAGACTTCTTTTTTCGTCTCTAGAAGTTCTCTCTGGGTCCTTTTCATATTTTCTTCCATGTTCTGGTACATATGACAGCCGTTTTTGTTTTTGTGTGTGTGTGTGTGTGTGTGTGTGTGTGGTAAGCGGGCCTCTCACTGTTGTGGCCTCTCCCATTGCGGAGCACAGGCTCTGGACGCGCAGGCTCAGCGGCCATGGCTCACGGGCCCTGCTGCTCCGTGGCATGTGGGATCTTCCCGGACCGGGGCACGAACCCATGTCCCCTGCATCGGCAGGCGGACTCTCAACCACTGCGCCACCAGGGAAGCCCTGACAGCCGTTTTAACATTTTTGTCTAATAATTCTATCATTTATGTCATTTCTGAGTCTGTTGCTATTAATTGATTTTTTTGTTTTTGTTCTTCCTCATTATGGGTCATATTTTCCTGTTTCTTTCTGAGCCTGGTAATTTCTTATTAGATACCAAACACTTGTTAGTTGCTGGATATTTTTATACTCCTTTAAGTATTCTTGAGGTTTGTTCTTATCCCTCTGAGGAAACTGAGTCACATAGAGTTTAAGAATAGCTAGGCTTACAAGTATTATCTAGGCAGAGAAAGTTGGAGAAAAGTTGCTAGTGGTAAAGAGAACAGAGTAATGAGAGCTAATGGTACATTCAGGGAAACCTAATATTTCAGTAAAATGTTGCCAAGGAGAAGAGATGAAGCTGGAAAAGTAAGTCAGAGGCCAGATCAGGAAGGGCTTCATACCGTATATTGTGTAGGTCATGGGGTATCAAGTCAGATCTGTGTTTTTAACAACGTTCCTTTGACAATGGAGTCGAGGATGAATTGAAGTAGGCACCTTAGGGGAAACTCGGAAGCCATTTCCAAATTCTTAATTCTTGCTTTTCGGCTTCTTTTTGATTTTAGGTTGTGGATCTGTCTTGAACGAAAATGGTGAAGTTGAAATGGATGCAAGTATCATGAATGGGAAAGACCTGTCTGCAGGAGCGGTGTCTGCAGTCCGCTGTGTCGCAAATCCCATTAAAGTCGCGCGCCTTGTTATGGAAAAGGTATGTGGGACTAAAGCACCCTTTTCCTAAGGAATTGTCACTGCTGCACTTCAGTGACTAAAAGGGTTCTGACTTGTAGGGAAATGCTCGAGATCACTGTTCTCCTGAAATTGTATGAAAGAACAAAAACAATGTTATTTAAGTTTCTCAAGGAAACCAAGATTCTGACTCAGTTGATGTAAGTTGACTCATGATCACTTAACCAGTGATCACATTTCACATTATCTTCATGTTTTCATGTTATCTTCCTGTATTTTCTTCAGCCTGCTTTCAACACATGTAACACAACACATACACACTGAACAGACCAACTGTTTAAATAGCATGTATGGGGGAATTCCCTGGCGATCCAGTGGTTAGGACTCCATGCTTCCACTGCAGGGGGCCCAGGTTTGATCCCTGGTTGGGAAACTAAGATCCTGCAAGCTGTGTGGTGCACCTACATACATAGATATGTGGATAAATAAATAGCATGTATGAAATAAAACTGGATTAAATTCTCTAAATGTAAGATCATATGTAAGTTGAATTCCTAGTAATATTCCATCATCTAGGTTTTTCTGAAAATACAAAAACTCGGAGAGCTCGGCTTTTTTCATCATTCAGAAAAGCAAGCCAGTGGAATTTGCATTTTTGAGGCTTTGTACCCAGAGAGAATAATGATTTTCACACAGTAGGAACAGTTGAAAAGATTTTAACTTTTCCACAAAACTAACTATTTTCCCATTTCTTTCTGGCTCAAGACACCCCACTGCTTTCTGACTGACCAAGGTGCAGCAAAATTTGCAGCAGCCAGCGGGATTCCAACAATTCCTGGAGAACAGCTGGTTACAGAAAGAAACAAAAAACGTCTAGAAAACGAAAAGCTTCAGAAATCAGACTACCAAAAGTAAGTATCATCTGTGGCTCACATGTTTGCGAGTTATTCAGATGTGAAAGTGGGACTCATGTCTGGTTATCCACGTTTCTTAAATAAGTCAAAGATCACTTGGTCGTTTCAGTTTTTGTACAAAATAGTTCACACTAAGTAATGGAAAAACTGCTCTTTTGACTCTGAAATTTAACCTCACTTATTACTCCTATGAATAGTAACTCAAATTCAGCTAAGAGTTCCTTCTCCAACATGATTTAATAGAAGGTATTAATTACCTGCATACTTCTTGATCAGTTGGTTATCTTCGGTACACCGCTCAGGTTCTCTGTGATGTAGACCACCCTATGAACTTACTTAGGCGCCCTTTCACGGGGCCGAGAAATCAGTACAGCCCTTATAAGTGAATTCATCATGTGTTCTGAATTATGGTTTTCTGTGTTACCAATTCAAAAATACCAAATAAAAGGACCTTAATTTAAAGCAAAATTTGAAAAATAAAATTTGAATGTGGCCTGGAAGTTTATAATGGAATGTAATCTATTAACTCCACATACCCTTTTAGATTTGTGATGTTTAACCAGAGGTATACTTTCGTATCACTTAGGGAGCTTTTTCAAAATCTACATGTCTGAGCCCCTTCCCTACAGAATCTAATTTAGGGACTTCCCGCGTGGTCCAGCGGTTAAGACTCCAGGCTTCCACTGCAGGGGGCGTGGGTTCGATCCCTGGTTGAGGAACTAAGATCCCGCATGACGCATGGCGTGGCCCAAAAAAAAAAATCTAATCGAGTAGAGCTGAGGTGGAGAGGCCAGGCAAGTCCATTAGAAAAAAGTTCCCCAGGTAATTCTAGTGTGTCCCCAGGTTAGGAATCTGTTTTACAAGATTGGCCATATGTTGGTAGCTGTTGATAATCTTTACTGAGTATGCTATTGTGTCTATAGGCTAAAGTCACAGGAATGGGGTTGCTTTATCAGTGGTTCATGTACATTTTAATAGATGTTGCCACATTGCTTTCCAAAAATTCTGCAACAACACACATCTCCACCAGCCAGTACTGCTCTTCGATATAAGCAAGAGGGGCTCCTGCCCTGGGCCCTGCACTTTAGATGACCCTCATATCACAGTTACACAAAACAGTTGCTTTATTGCAGATCCATGGGGCATCTCTGTCACTCAGCAGTGACACAGCATTACCCATAGCCCTCACCATCCACTCATGTGCCAAATATCATTCAGCCCCCAGGGAAGTGCTTCTCTGCATCTCTTGCTCTATGTCTCAGAAGTAAAGACCACCTGAGTCAAAAGGTTTGTGGAATATGCCACTGCTGACATCAGAACTAGACCCTGTTTTGGAGTGTGGGGAAGACTTGAACAGCAGAAGGACTTAGGTAAGAGAAAAAGACAATAATTTGTCAAACAAATTCTTGCATAACGAAGTGTTGTTTCCCAGTAGTGCACAGTGTCCTTTTTCTTTCCGCATGTTTCAGTTTGTGGTTCTAGAGTTATTCATGAATTAGTACGATATCTGCAAGACTTGCCCATGAGGGCTGATTCCTGTTACTCCTAAATTTGTAGATATGTAGGTCTAGACCAGCACTGTCCAATAGAAACCTGAGAGCCATATATGTAATTTAACATTTTCTAGTAGCCACATTAAAGAAACGTAAGAAGAAATGAGTGAAATTAATAATATATTTAACCCAATATACCCCAAATATTATCACTTCAACATGTAATCAATGTAAGAATTTATTTATGAGATACTTTACATCTTTTCATGCTAGATCTTCCAAATCTGCCGTGTTTTTTACACTGACTGCATGTCTCACTGTAGACTGCCTGCATTTCCAGTGCTCAGCCACATGCAGACAGTGGCTGCTGTATTGGACATCACAGGTATAGACAGAACCTGCATGAGGAACCAATTTTTTATGTTGGCAACTAAATGGACACTGAATATTAGACTCATGGATGGTTTTATTCTTATAAAAATACTTAAGGTTGAGTTAAATTTTTTTAAATGTTGAAATTTTTAAGTAATTTTTATTTAAAATGTTATATTCATTAATTTTAGTTGATGTTTAGACTTTAATATTAATAATTTTGTAAATTTTAGGAAAAAACTAACTTTTGAAATTATATCTGCAAATTACTTTTATTCTTTTTGGGGGATTTGCCCTTAACTTTGATGAAAATATATGCTAATTTTGTACACTCTCAGTATAGTTACATTTCACTTTCTAATTCCTAGATTACTGAAAATGTGTACAAGTCAAGATTTTGATAGAAAAAGAATACTAAAGTGGAATTCACAAAAGAAAAAAAAGCTAAAAGGAGGAAAAGAAGTAAAAGATCTTCAAAGAAACAGTCTGCTTTAAAAGTAAGCACTCTTAGACTTTCCTGGTGGCTCAGTGGTAAAGAATCCACCTGCCAACGCAGGGGAGACAGGTTCAATCCCTGGTCCTGGAAGATCCCACATGCCGCGGAGCAACTAAGCCCGTGCGCCACAACTACTGAGCCTGAGCTCTAGAGCCCGCGAGCCACACCTGCTGAACCCGCGTGCCACAACTACCAAAGCCCATGCGCCTAGAGCCTGTGCTCCAGACCGAGAGAAGCCACCACAATGAGAAGCCTGCGCACCGAAATGAAGAGAAGCCCTGCTCGCTGCAACTAAAGCCCACGAGCAGCAACAAAGACCCAATGCAGCCAAAAAATAAATAAATGAATAAAAATTAGAGAAAAAAAAAAAAAAAGTAAGCAGTCTTCTTCCAGGATGACCCGCATAAAATTCACAAAGAGAACATTACAGCTTCTTTGTTCAGTGAAGATTGAATTACTTATCAAAACAATGAAAATTAGTAGGAATAGTATTCTCACCAAATCCACAACTTGAGCAATTCAGATGAAATCCCGACAACTTCATGTTCTTTACTAAAGGAAGATTTAATTGCTAATCATCAAGCAATTTGGTGTAACCATACACCAAAAAAGGACACGTGCAATTATTAGAAGCGCTGGGAAAAGGCTGAATAAACAATAAACAGTTGATAACCAGAAAAGACACAGATAGAAAACATAGATGTAATGTTCTTGAAAGAATAATACTATTTGGACAAGTGTAATGGTACTTTTCATGACCCCATCAGCACAACATTTACGGAAAACAATGGGAAATTTCTAGGGTTAATAAAAATTATTTCAAGTTTTGATAAAATGCCAAAACGTAATTAGGAAAAAAACCTAATGATAAGTATCTAGGAGAGAGAATTCAAATAGGTTAGTTTAATGGGTAATAAAGCAAGACATGAAATCATAATGAAGTTTAAAAAACTCAGCTCAGCTAGAGTGGACCACGGTCAGAAAACATGTTGAAAAACTAACATTTAAAAGGGAAGCCCGTGATAATGGAGCTGACATGGTAGGTAAATAAAAGGTATGTAAGCACGAACTTTGGCCAAGAGTCCGGAAGTATCCTGTGTGACACGGCCAGCTCACCGTGAGTTTGTTTCTAGGAGACGTGCCCTCAGCTGCACCAATACTGACGATGCTGTGAGACAGTAGAGGGTCCACTGCAAGATACTCTAGATGTGGCCGAAGGTGGAAGAGCTTAATCAGACTCACATCTGACCTTATAACAGACCTCAGAGAGACGTGGAGGGAATTCCAGCTCAATGCTGTTGAAGTAATGAAATCGAATTTAGATAAGAAGAGTTCAGCAAAAATCGCAGAAGTTCCTTAAAGAACAAATCACGGACTTTGACAGAAAGTGAAATTAATTTTGAATTTGCACTATCTACAGTTACTTAGTCTGAACTATTCCTCTCCATTGATAAGCTTAACAGAAGCTTTAAAAAAAAAAAAATCTAAGTTTGGCTATTAACATTTTTTAAAGGATTAAAAATTTTTTTTTTAATTTAGAGAAACAAAGCCAAAAGTGCATGGGAAATATGCAAGAAAAGTGACATCCGCAGAAAATATAAGGAAATCGAAACAAAGGAAACAAAAAGATTTGCCTAACTTGAAGGAGAAGATTCATGTACAGCTGATCCTGAAACCAGTTTCTTTAGAGGCTGTTTTTCTGTTCATTATAAGTCGAAGTATAAGTATCATTTGTAGAGAGATTTGAACAAAATCGAGCAACATACTGCTGTTTTCCATTTTCTTTGTAATATACCAGCAATGAAATTTGAAAGAAGAATTTAAGATACTCTGCATTGATTTAAACACTGCTTAAGACATGACAAAAATGACTATAGTAAGGGATTGTGATTTAAATGATCAAATTAAAATAGTTAGTAAAATCTTCTGTGATAACAATTTATCAAACGTAACCCCATGTAACATTTGAGTGTGGTAATATAAAAATGAAGATTCATTTCCAAATCTAAGTATTGCTTTAGGAGTTTTACATATAGTTCCAACGTTACTGCCTCAGCAGAGTGAAGCTTCTCCAAGTTAAAATTAATTAAAAACTTCCTAAGAACTACATCGCTCAAGAAAAGTTGTGTTGGGCTTCCCTGGTGGCGCAGTGGTTGAGAGTCCGCCTGCCGATGCAGGGGCCACGGGTTCGTGCCCCGGTCCGGGAGGATCCCACGTGCCGCGGAGCGGCTGGGCCCGTGAGCCATGGCCGCTGAGCCTGCGCGTCCGGAGCCTGTGCTCCGCAACGGGAGAGGCCGCAACAGTGAGAGGCCCGCGTACCGCAAAAAAAAA